CGCTTCTCCCATGTCAGTAGAAGAGGGTATGAGGGAGGAGGCCTCTTGCTTGGGTGGGAATTATTAATGCTTCATGTATATCCCAAAAGCTACAGAGCTCACTGCAGGCTCAGATCTTCAGCCGGTGAAGCAGATGAAAAGTAAGTTTCTTTCCTCCCTGAGAACTAAACTGCCTTCTAGGTTTTCTTCATCTCCTATTCCTAAAAAAACCAAGTTTGCAGGCTGGCTCAGTGACAGTGCCAGCAATGCTTCTCGCATCAAGAAAAGGCTTAGAAGTGTAAGGGGATTTTTATGCCAGTGTGATTTGTAGATTATGATTCTGCATTTTGTGTGTTGCCTTAAGGTTTGTGACTTGTTAGCAGAAAATGAGAAAAAGGAAAGCCCTGGATTTTGGATGAATAAATGTATCTGATGGATTTCAGGTCTTTATGTCCTGAATCAGACAGCTGAAATGCTGCGACCACCTTTAAGGCTGTTGCAAAGTCCACTGATGCAATGCAATGCAGTACCTGTGAAACAGGGTTGTGTAATAAGAAAATTAAAAAATTTTAAAAAAGCTATATGGAGAGACACTGCACATTCTCATGCACTGGCGTGTAAATTTGTTATGTCTGTTTAATCACCCTAAGTCTTTGAAGTCTTGTGTTTTCATGAATCATAAGATGGCAGAACGCTGATCCCACAGTCTATCCAAGGATGGTTTGAGATCTCACAGCATGAAGTGCCTGGTCTCTAGGAAATATTTGGAACAACTCTTCTGTATTTTCCATTAATCTTAGTAAAAGGCCTTTCATATCAGATTGTCAGATTCCCATATGGCGATAGGAAGCATTTCTCTTAATGGTAAATACAGCAAATCTGTGACTACAGTAGTGAGGGCAGTTTCGAAGTAGTCCCAGAACTAGACACTTCTTAGTGTCATCTGAGTCATTTCTTCTATATGGTCTGTTCTTCTGAGGCAGAGAAGCAAACTCACGGCCCTGATTTCTTTCCATCCACACATCATTGCTTAGGCTGCTTCATATGACAGTGCAGAGAAGGAAAAAGGGCCTGGGAGCACCATTTGATGATCAGAACTTGGTGAAGGCAGAGGTTAAAAATGGGAGCAACTCTGCACTGAGGGGTACACAGTCAGCTGAGGGGCATGAGTTACTCAGTTCATAAGGAGGGGGAATGGAAAGTAAAAGAGAGAGTCAAACAACAGATTAAAAAGGGAAATCACTGGTGCAAGAGAATTCATCTAACAGCCTTATTGCCCTGATTTCATTTAAGCTTCTGACAGGCAGGCTGCTAGGTGTTCGTGACAGCCCAGAGAAGAACAGAAAAGCAAATATGGCAAAATTAATTTTTGTGAAGGTGGGTGTTTGCTTATAGTGTCTGTGTATACACCCACTCCACATATTTATATAAATGTTTTGGGTTTAAATTGAAGACATATAATTTTAAAATAAAAACTTTTAAATACCAAATATGAGTCAATGGCTCAATTGCAACTTGCTAATCTTACTGTGACTATGTATTTCACAGTGTCTAGAGAGGAGGAGACATCTGAGAGACACACACACATTACACTTAGCATACACATGTCCTTAGTGAAGTAAATTGGTATCTTTGTTATCTTGCTTCACACTGTGAGGGGTAAAGTGAAAAAGCATGCATTTGGAACTGTGTGGGCAACAGAAAGGAAACACATGTCATTCCACAGAGATAAAAGTTTGTCTTTCAGATACATGCTAGGCTGAAGATACAAGAGATCTGGCTTTGATTCATGGCTATGACCCAAGTCGTAACTATGTCACAGTGACCAGATAGTTGTATCTATATTCTCTACTTTAAAACAAAGAGATTTCCACACATTCTGCATACACATTGCCTGATCATTACACATTTGAAGCATCATAAACACAACGAAGTCTGGTCTAGCTAGGTCAGATCAGAGCTCCTACATGCTGAAAAGGTGTTAGGGACACTTTGCTAAGATTGCCTCATCTTTCTTCAACCTCTCATGACAATTCTGTGATGCCCCTACCACAAGGAGCCTTTTATTTTGGCTGGCTCAGTGGCTAGCCCTCAGCTTTCCATTTTGTCAAATCATGTTTTCCCACTTAGACAGTTCCTATTTAATTAACCAACTTTTTTCTCCCTTTCTAGGCTTGGACAGCTTGTACAGGTTTGGCAGCCACTGCCCCAGTGATCCAGGGAAGATGCATGAGATGTGAATGAATGAGGGCATGAGTAGAACAGGAGTGCCCTCCTACAGCAGCCATGTTACACCAAGCCTGGCAGCTGTATGGGAGGTGGTGCCGTTGGTCCAGTCCTTTTATCCATCTCCTCATGCTGACTGTGGTGACATTTGGTGTGCTCGCACCTTTGATTTGCCACCGGCTCCTCCACTCTTACTTCTATTTGCGGCGGTGGCACCTGAACCCCATGAGTCAGGAGTTCTTGGAGCAGAACTGGCAGGAGGGCCAGGCTGCGCTCCATTACTTTGAGAAGCTTCAGATACCAAATGCCTCCGAGGCCTCTGGCAGTGATGCCTTTCAGCCCTTGCTGCTTGTCACCATTATCACTGTGCAGAGGCGGAATGACTTCCACTATGTCTTGCAAGTGGCCGCCCGCTTCCACCGTCTCCTCCAGAAATGTGGTGCACGTTGTCAAAACCACCGCATCCTCCTTTGTAATGTGGAGTCAGACCCCAGTAGCCATCAGGATGTCAGGCTGCTGAGCAGCTTCTTTCCTATGGTCAGTCTTGACAGAACTGGTGAGAACCCTGACCCCAGAATGAACCAGTTTGAGAAGGAGAAGCAGGACTATGTCTTCTGCCTTGAGCAGTCACTGTTGGCATACAACCCAGAATACATCCTCGTAGTAGAAGATGATGCTGTGCCAGAGGAGGAGATATTTGCTGTCTTGCAGCACCTCTTGTTGGTCCGGTTCTCCAAACCATACCTTAGAGATGCACTCTATTTCAAGCTTTACCATCCTGAGAGGCTTCAGCGCTACTTTAACCCTGAACCCATGAGAATCCTCGAGTGGCTAGGTCTGGGCATGTTTCTGGGGCCCGTGCTGAACTGGGTGTACTCCTGCGCAACTGGGCGCCCGAGCCTCAGTTGGCCTGTTGTCTTGTTCTTCGCTTTGTATAGCATGGCTTTGTCAGAGCTGGTGGGACGGCATTACATGCTGGAGCTGCGCCGGCTGGCCCCCACGCTCTATAATATCGTGCCAGTCACCGAATGCTGCACGCCTGCCATGCTCTTCTCTGCCGTGTCTGCCCGCCGTGCCTTAGGCTACCTGAAGGAGCTACACTGCCGCCAGGGTTTTGCTAAGGATATTGCCCTCTACTCGCTGCTGCATACTAAAGGGGAGAACGCCTACGTGGTGGAGCCTAACCTGGTCCAACACGTGGGAATGTATTCCAGCCTTCGCCTAAATGATAACCCGAAACTGCTGTGACCTGTTCATGCCTTTCCAGGCACACAGCCCAGAGAGCTTGCCACTGAGCAGAGAGACAGCATGCAAACTCAGATGTTGTGCTGCTAGCATTGGGCATCCTGTGCCTCCAGCTGAACAAAGAATAAGTCTATTTAAAAGTAAAAAGTTTCTTAAAAAATAAACTTACATAAGTATAGACCCTATTTAATATGTACTTGGACCTAAACACTATGCACCATGCGGGAAGGGAGTGGAGGATTCCAGCTGGGGGTGTGGATTGTCAACCTGTTTAATCATTATTAGGGAAAAGCTCTCACAGCAATATAAAGAGCTATACTGCCTGCTTTCCTTTACACTGGTTACAGAAGTCCTCACCGTAGGGTAACAGAAATGTTGGACAAACTGAATGTTTCAAATTTAAACTAGTGAGGAGGAAAAACCCCTATTTTCACATCCTTACTAAGGTCTGATCTCTGCTTTCTGTCTGTTTCTGTTTCAAAACTGTGGTTTTGAGCAGACTCTTCAAAAGCAGCAGTGGTTTATGTGAACCTTCTTAAAAATTTCACCTATATTCGTCAAATTTTATAGAGCCTTTGTTTGTTACTGTATCCCCCTACAGATCCTATCTGCACCTCCACCCTTCCCACTCTTTTACTGGAACAGAGGTTACTAAAAACAAAACTGCTGCTCCTGCGTTAAAGGTCACCTCTGAAGGCAGGAATAAGAGAACAGAATACAGCCATTGATGTTACACAGCCAGATCACAAATGCACATTTTCATTGATACATTACAGACATTATAAACAATATAGGATGACTGCTGTGTTGGTTAGTATCATCACTAGTTGTAGTGTATCCAGATCGTTCAAAGAAGTCTTATTACTTGCTGACTGTACTTAAACGTGCAACATGAATTTACCTTGACTTCCGAACAGCAGAGAGCTAAAGGGAAGAATACATCAGGTGTGGCTATTGTGCAGGATTCTTGTTTCATTTTGGATCTCGAATTCGCAGCTCAGCCCAGTTGGTTCATTCACTGCTCTTGGCAGCAACCCTTTGGTTGCTGCCAGGCAAGCTCTTTATTATACCCAAAGGAAATAGAGCTAGCTGTTCATAAAAACAAGCAGCAACAGCACAACACAGCAAGGCGCTACTCTGATACTGACCCATTAACTTAATGTGCTCTGGTTGTTAAGCATTTGGGATGAGTACTTTGTACCACAGCATTGGGCACAGTTAAATATAAAGCCATGCAGTTGACAAGAGATCTCAAAAAGGATTAAAACTGGCACCAAAATGTTTATGTCTAATGAAAAGCCAACCTTGACTTTAGCAGGCTTTGAATCAAATTCACTTATGTGTGGAGTTTGATTGAACTATTTTTGAAACTATTTTACTAGCTTTGGAATGAACCAAGTATAATAGTCTTGTCGAGTTTTGGTCAGTCGGGGTTGTTTCACCTTTTTTTTTGGTGGAGGAAAAGCTCTACTTTGAATTTTCTTTCCCTGTCTCTCTCGGGTGATTTATGCCTTAAGCTCTCAACAAATTTGGTTATAGATATGAAGGACTCATAAAGACTCATGAGAGATGAAACCAAAGAAATTTGCAAACCTCAAGCTGTTAGCATGAGATGGGTATCACAACACAAACGCGTAATGTCAGTTAGCTAAGAAATGGCTTCACAACACAGAGCAGTCCTCAGCTCTTTTAGTAATTAGCTGAGACTCTTCTATAACACCTTTGGAAATCAAATGTGAGTAAAAACTGCTTGTGGATTCCATGTCATTCCAAAGGCAAAGTACCTCTCCCATCAGAGGACACAGGAAAAATTGCACAGGTGGAACCACCATTTATTCTCAGCTGCTGAAAACCTCAAAGATACCAGAGTGCTCACAGTGTCACGTGAGCAAACCTATTCTCAGGCTTTCCTGTACTATGGGAAGATGGGAGGATTTGAGTATATTTATTTCATTAAGCGCCTGCACGTGTTTATGCACCTTCAGCTGTGGATGTTCCAGTGATGTGTGCTTTTTTTTCCCTCTTTTTCTGTCTTTGTACTATACAAATCCAGGAAGTGCCCTGTTCTTTTCACGGGATTCCATTCATACTGCTTGCAAACAAAATCTTACAACAAGGTTCAATAAATGGGACTTGGAAAGGAAAAAGGAGGAAGGAAAAGAAAGAAAGAAACTTCAGAAAAGAAACCAACTAACTATATGCAGTTAATAAATGTTTTGATGTGGGAAATGATTTAACTGTTTGTCTCAAAGTTATTTTGCTTGTTTGCCCTGTAGTACTTTGTCATCCCAGAAGTACAGAGGAGGTCAATAATTTCCCTGAGCTTCATAGTGCAAAGTTAAGAACATGAATTTGAGGCATCTCTTCTAAACTAGGAGACAATTTTCAGGGCATAAGAGACAAGAGAAGTTGACTGGGGGACCAAGCAATATGCAGAGGGCCTGCAACTTGAACCTGCTAGTGAGAGAGTTTCAGATAAACCCGTTGAGAATTAACTCCTTTGTGCAAGGAGCAGGTTAAAAAATTCTTCAGATCCTTCTGGAATAACTTCGAGTGCCCAGTTCACCTTTACAACAGAGGTGCTGCTTTTACTGAGCCTGCTGGGGACTATTTACGAGTAACTCAGGAAATACCCAGTTACTTGCTCAGTGCCAACCATGCCCAAGTGGCGTGTCAGGCAAGCGTTCCTTCCACTGCTGTCTCTCAGCTTTCACAAGCAGATTGATTTTTCTTTATTTTCCTGTGCCATGTTTTATTAGAAATGACAAGTCAGAGAACTGTACTTTGCCCTTGGAACAAAAAATGGGAGGTTACTGTGAGTTCCTAATTCCTGGTGGATTTTATTCCACAGTTTGGGCAGTTTCAAACACACATGCCTTTTCTCTCTCTTTTTTTACCATGGGAACAGAGCTGAGTTGGCATCATTTCATGTTACGTAAGTTCAAGGCCCAGCATTAACTCCTTGAAACACGGCCTCAAGAGTTTGGTTTTACTCACATTAAAACAAACGTAGTGATTATTTTTGAAACAAACAGTATAGATTTTGTTCGTGTTTGTTCACTCCAAATAATTCAGAGACTATTTTTCAATGCAGCAACTACTGTTTGCAAAAGAGGATTCTTTCCTGATGGGCCAGACAGCCGGACTCAAGGCGTTATTTTCCAAGACAACTTAGGGGAAGTTATTCAATTAAACTACCTTTGTTTCCAAGTCAGGTCCAACATAAGCATGATTCTGGCAAAAGATGAAGCATAAATTGATAGATATCTATTAGACTGGAGGCCTAAGTGAATTTTGTAACTACAGGAGGGTCAATGTCTTAGTGAGAAAGCATTGAAGTTGAAGAGAGGACAGAGCCTTCCTCTCAGTTGCGAGGAGCTGTGACTCGCCACGCTGAGTATTTCAACAGCGGTTTGGCTGGATGCAATGTGAACAACTTTTTTTCTAAAGATATTTACAAGCAAACTCTACCAAATAAACAACCTTTCTATTAAAACTTTGTTGTCTCTTTCTTCTGCATGCCACTGTTTGTTTTCATGACAGCAGATCCGTACCTTTCCTTACTATATTTGACTAAGAAAGATACTTCTGTGTTCATGCATCTCTGTGTATCTGCATGATGTAATAGTTTGGATTCTACAATAATAAAGGTTGAAAAGGACCTCGGAAAGTCCCTCGTCCAATTCCCCCCTCTAAGCAGGTCTTACTAGAGCAGGTTTCTCAGGGCCTTCTCCACTCAGTTTTGCAGTATTTTGATAGGTACCCAAGATATAATCAAGCTCTTAAGTGCTGGAATTTAACCTTAGTATACTTTTGTATAGAAAGGCTATGCATTTCACAAAATAAAAAAGGTAATTTTCCATGGGAAACAGTTGTAGCTACAAAGGCACTGGCAGTTTCTCTCCCGAAGTTAAGAGTTTCTTTTTATGTATTTCCACACCAGCTGTATAGGTGACGTATCCAAATACAGCAGATGGCAGGGCCCAACGTGGTTCTGAATAATCTTTACTAAAACATACATCTGCCAAAAATGCATACAGAATTAGGTACTTCATGGTCTGTGCTTCTTCACTGCAAGTGTCTCTGTTGCTAGAGTAACTTCATTTCCACAAACTGTCTGCCCTGACAGCTCATGTTTTGGGAGAATCTGCCCCATCAGCCAGTTTATTCACGGTCCTGCAGGCTAAGAGTCAGGACTATCAGTGTTCATTTCCAAGACTTTGTTCTGCATGGCAAGCTATGAATGCCAGCTGTGTAACCACTGGTGATTTTTTAAAATGTTGACAAATAAAAATGAGTGTTGTATTTTCCTGCCTTGTTAGTAAGCCTCTGTCCAACTGTATGTTCTTTAGTGTCTACTTTCTCTTTGACTTTCTGCCATGGTATCCCATGTTCCTCCAGCATGTGCAGAAACCACATCTATAATGGGCGTTTCAGCGGAGTGGTCCACTTCAGATGTAAGTTGTAGTTTGTATTTTTCAATGTTAACATGCAGCGCCTAAGTATGCTTTTCTGGGGGACACTGTGCTGCTCAGATAAACAGATAATAAACAGTTAAGTGTCTTCCATTACAGCAGCCAGTTGTTTGCCTGCTTGCTTTTTAAAAAACAAAATGTCAGCAGGAAGGCAGTGTCATGACTACTGAATTTATCTTCATGTCCTCTTACAGCTATTTTGCACAGCCCAGAAAGTTTCCCCCCAGCAGCCTTATTTAAAGTTGTATCTTTCTTTGCTACCCCCATTATTGAAATTATTACAGAGATCTGGGGTTTGATAACAGTAATGTTATGTGTTTGCCTGTTTTTCATTCCAAGTCATGGTGTTTGTTGCAGCCCAGCTTTAAGATGTGAAGAACGAAGAGTCAGCGAACCCTCCCTGTACAATCCCCTCAGTGCACTCTGTGGGCCTGACTCTGTACTACCCGTTACCTTTCATAACCTCCCTGGTGTACCTGTCTGCAGACACTGCTGTGGAGCCAGAAATACAGGTGATTTCTTTCACTG